AGCAACACAGATAGAGTTATTGCACCATAAATCATTATTGGTTCGGAAGGATTTTCAAAACATTCAGTATGAAGTACAATTACCGATCGATCGCCGCAACACAATAAACCATTCAATTGTTCTGATAACTCCCCTCGGTGAGCATCGAACTGAGGATACTTTTTCTTTACCTTTGGTGACCACCCTTTCTTGAGGGTTTTGTCGAGTAGTACTGTTTGGTAGATTTGCTTCAGAAAATCGTGAGTATCGAGAGAGGATATCAGCCTGCGGGATGGTCTTTCCTGGACGACGTTAGATGTCATAATTGTATGCGGCTAGAGCGATGCTCCACCTCTGTAGCATAGCGGCAGTGGACTTCGCGACGGACTTTTTTGGGTTGAACAAGAACTGCAGCGCTTGGGGATCAGTGATCATGGTAAACCGCAATCCGGAAAGGTAATTATGCAATCGTCTAACAGTCCAAAATACAGCCAGCGCTTCTTTTTGAGTCTGTGAGTATCCCTTTTCTGCCGCATTGAGTAGACGTGAAATGCAGATCACTGGGCATCCTTCTTGTTCTAATACAGCACCGATTCCGACGTCAGATGCATCGGGGATGAGTGTAGCCGGTTTTGAAGGTGAAAACGGGGCGAGAGCAGGACGATCAGTAACGCAGCGAATTAAACCACGTAAGAAATTCTCACACTCCACCGACCATTCCCAAGCGTCTGAACACTGCGCACGAAAAAGCAGCTGCGCACTTGTAGCAAAGTTCGGGATAAATCGGGAATAGAATTTTAGGCATCCCATCACGGAACTCAAATGCGTTTGATCCTTTGGAGATTCGATGTTAGTCAATGGTTTGAAACGTGTCGGATCGGGACGATATCCATGGGAATCAGCTGTGAATCCTAGAAACTCCAACTCACTCACTCCAAACACACACTTGGACGGCTTGATAGCTACGTTTCTGGCGGCAAATCGTTCCAGTTCCTGCAAAAGACGGGCATCGTGTTCTTTCTTATTAAGGCCGAAAATGAAGACATCATCTTGATATGCAAGCACGCTGTCAAAACCTTTGATGACACTGTCTATTGCCGAATGAAAGAGGCCGGGCGACACATGCAATCCTACCATCACTTTTCATCGCCACGACGATCGGGGTAGCCCAGGCACTAGATTCAACTTTACGTATCACACCATCCTGCTCCATTTTCTGTAAAGTTTTCAGGACATATTCTCGTTGATCGTACGGGAGGACACATCGTTTTAGGAAAATGGGTTCTCCGTTTACTTCCAACTTTACCGGCGGCACTTTCATGCCACCAACGTTACCGGAACACTGTACAATCAAATGTTGAACATGTGAAATGATTGGCATATCGTTGTTGGTCTGTAGTTGAATTGATCCTTGTAGTAGCCGCATTGCTCGCAGACCCAGAATAGACGGACTGTGAGCTGATACCAGGAATCGGAATGGGATTGACACACCGAATTCAGATTGAACTCGCAACATTCACCAAGTGATTGCCATAGTTAAGCCAAACGTGGAGTTTAGTGACTCGATGTTTGCTGATGTTCGTCAGAACCTGTCACTAATGTTTGTTCACGTTAATTTCGAATATCCGTCCCAAGAGGAAACAGAGCCATAGATTGGGTTTGTGGAAAACGATATATTCTGAGATCCTCAGAAAGGTTGGAAGTAGGTTTGACTAGGCCTAGGATATTATTTAAGCAACGGCAGCGGAAACCTGAAAGTAGATCTGACCAATGCGATACCGAGCTCGCCGTGGGGATTTGTGTCGGTGCACACTTTTTGAGCTCATTAAAAGAACGATAATAGTTAAAGCAAAACTTAATCCTGGAAATGTCCAAGTTGCTATATCCAATAAAAATACTTTCCCCGGAGGATAGCTACCGCCAACTAATGGCGATAAATGCTAAATCTCGACGGTACACTTGATTGTGTCCGGTGGAGAAGGGTCTTCAAGTAAGATGGGAAAACCATAGCGGTAGTTTTAGCTACCTGATCGAGAGGCTAAATAGCTACTTGATATCTGAACTTTTATGGTTCTGATAAGTGTGCCACGGTTATGTAACCATGTATTGATAATCCTCAATTATGCACGACGGGTTGGAAACTGAACCCGTCCTGTCGCTAATCATCAGTGTAAGGTGAAAGGGCTTCTGGTACGTGATTTGATGACCACGACCGGCTTGAATGGACCTATCAGGAAACTTGAAGGAGAACAAGAGGAAAGAAAAGAAAACTGTAGTTTGAAACTGTCGGTTGAAGAATCGCTACAGGAACACTGCGTGCAGGCTTGGGCAACCTTCTTCGGAAACCATGCAGCCTGTTTAGAGAAAGTCCAAAGGATAGCAAGGCGAATGACTGAAGGTCAAAAGAGTAAGTCATACCAAGACAGTCTAAAAGACTTGGGACTTCTCGCTAGAAAGGAGGAGACTAAGAGGAGACTTATTGGAGACCTTTAAGACTGTGTACGCGATCTCGGGAGTAAGGAAAGAGAGCATACACCAAGGGACTAGAGGGAACGGGTAGAAACTACATAAGCAGCGGTGAAATCTGGTTGCTAGATCCAGCTTCTTCAATAACAGAGTAGTGAACAGTTGGAACCAGTTGCCAAATGAATTAGTAGTAGTAGTAGGGAAGTAGTAGTAGTAGGGAAGCGTGACTACATTTAAGCTCGCCCTGAATGAGCGACGGCTGGAGCTCTTTCCAGAATAGGACTTTAATGTACCATGGAAGGCCCTCATGACTTATGTCCCTTGTTCGTCGCTGAGATGAAAGGAAAGGGGCTTTTTCCTTTCTTTTTCAGCAAGAAAGCCGTACTGAAGAAGATTTGCACACTTTGTAAGAAAACTACCGGAAAGAATCTGGAAGCTCGATCGGCCGTGGCCGTTATCAGTTCTGTGCAATCTGACTTGACCTTGCCTAATGTGTTGTTTGAATGTTTACTTTTGTCCCTAGCGCTATTCATCATGGCCGATCGTGAGTTTTTGGTCCATCCCATTGTTCTTAAGCATTCCTTGTCGTTACTCGCTTTTGCTAACGTCGATTCGGCATTAGTTCTAGTGATGGGTATAGGTGCTTAAGATGCGATTTGTTAGTGTACTTTTTGGAGTGCTGAATGTTCGTTATAACGAAGTTCATTTCGTAAACGTGTATACGTGTGTACATTTCGGCATACCGTTGTAATGAGGGCACCAAACAGTGTCCCTAATTTCTGTGTAATGGTTTTCCCCTGCTGCTGTTGAGTTTCACATATAATCACATCTTAACCGTATTCCTGGTTGTGCACGGTCCGGGGCGCGAGACTACTGCCCCAGCTGCTTTCTATACAGGAGTCGATTGAGGGCCGGCCCTTCACTTGTTTATTACACACTTTAGTGTGATGAGCAGCAGACGAGGTTATCCCCATATTCACCAGAATCATCCGTTCAGTGGTGGAAACCGGCAACCAAACCTCCGGGATCTGAAATGGCGAACCACAAGGCTCCGATAGATTAGGGGTGGTATTGAACCGGACAACAGCGCGGCTGCTTACCACCAAGGCACGCAGGTTTGCCCCAGTTTAATTGCACCTAACATCGAGACCGGTAAGTGTATTCCATTTCGCCTGCTCGCCGAGCTTGTCGAACGGGCGAAATGGAATTCAGTTCACCCGAGCTACGAGAACCGATTCTAATATTTTTTCAACCGGTAATTGTGCCTGAACCCTAATTTGATTTGTGGAATAATCGCTTTGGTTATAATTTCCGGAGCTGCGGCTTTATGCATTCCTGATGTCGGTTCGGCTCCCACATCTGGTTACTGTCTTTTACGCACCAGTGTTACAAGCGAGGGAGCATTTTTGCAGAGCCCTTTTGTTGCACCATTTAGGCCTTTTGTTAATTTTATACCAACTGCATAGGCTAGGGTTACTACCTTTTCGGTACCTTTCGTGGAGATCATTGTTCAATATTATTTCCACTCAGGAACGTGTTATGGTTTCAAAAGGTCTTCGTTTTCCACGGTCTCAGGAATACTCCATGCCTAAAAGTTGACACCAGTCTCATGCGTACGTTTGGGGAGCAGAAGTAGTTGAATTAACCAGATCCACCTGTACGATGTGCTCATCTTAAAAGCCAATGGTTGTTGTTCATGAGCAGCGAGGTAACGGGGGAGTACCGTTGATAGTTCCACAGGGCCGAGATTTCTATCCTGAAATCCCCCTATTAAATACGGATCGATTGTCACGATTGGATTTCCCCTGAGTGTACAGCTGATGGAAGTCTCGAACTGAACGGTTTCTACCGGGGAACGTTCAAGTCTTTCTTTTGTCCCTTCGTCCAAGTGAACAGTCACGAGGCAGCAACCGAAGCCGGCACACGAAAGTGAGTGGTAAGTGTTTATGAAAACAAACGAGGTATGACGGGAGAGAACAAAGTCAGACATGTTTCGAACGGTTTCGTCGGTTGACGAAACAATGAAAAATATCTCCTGAGAGCCGGATTGCGATGACTGCAACACTTTATGATCGCTTTCTACTAAACTTGAGTATACAGCGGTCTCTACCACAGAAATATTCCTTATTTAGCATCGTGATTTGCAGGAACTTGAACTACCATTGAATGGCATCACGATGGTCACCTTGCCGTCCCTTAGCTGTGTCAGCAGCAAATGCGATTAGTGTCCCCAGGGTTCGTGGATTCGTCCACGATTTTTCATTTTCGTTTTTACTTCCTTTTATTAAATTAACAAATGTACAATTTTCAGGAGGGGGGAAGCGGCCAATCAAAGGGCTGCCATAAATGGGAGAGATGTTAGATAGTTTGCACATGAATCGGTTGAAGGTTGAATATCAGTTGGCGGTTTATTGGTGTCCACGGCCTGCTTCACGATTCAACTTATTATCTGGCCTGCGTGTTGGGCAGCTTAACTGTCTTCTAGGCCCGTTGCACATTTCTGCAATGTGGTTCACCTCTGTTCTCAGTGCTTAAGCCCCTGATTCCAGCAACTAGCCTTGTAGAACTCATAGGTTTCATTCCTTCAGTTGTTAATTACACTGGGTTGTGTACTAGAAGTGCTGGGTTAGACTGCGGATGTCGGTGAATGTGCTTTCGTCGTGCGATATTTGCTATTTAATTTGCGCTAATGGATGTCCGGCTATGATGTGTATATATGCTCAGGCCTAGAGTTGAAAGTCAGGTGCACTGGAGCTTTCTGTGATGCATCAGTTCTCTGCGGAACTCTTTCCTAGCTGATCTTTTTAAGGGGGTAGAGAGGATTACATACAGACTAAGGTAGTGAGCTCGTCCACCACAGTGCCTTATTCTAAGTAGCCACTCCGGGTTGGAGGAAATAACGTGAAGGTTAACATTACTTGGAGACGAGACATGGTGAAATGTACGGAGTTATCTCGTAGTGTAGGTGTCTGCCGCTTTCCAGGCTGGGGTCTAAAAGAGAGCGACTGGTTGCTTGGAGGTGTTCAGTCATATGGCAG